GCTGAGCATGGAGGGGCGGGGAGGGCTTCAGGCTCCTAGGAGGAGGAAAGGCAGCCCCAGGCAAGCTCAGGATGGTTTCCGCTTCCGGGGCAGAGGTGTGGGTGGGGCCTCCAAGAGCTCCCATGCCTGGCAGCAGAGGGGATGGAGGAGGGACCGCACCAAGGCTTTAGGACTTGACCAGGGGGCTGGCAATGGCCTGAATGGCTTGGCCTGGGACTGGGGTCCCCAGGAGGTAGACGATGGGCTGCAGCCCTCTCCCTCTCGGCCAGTCTCAGGCCTGATCTCAGCAAGGGCCTCTTGGAACCCTGTTGGGCCCAGTGGCCACAGAGCACAGCTGAGAAATCCCCAGATGTGTCTTCTGAGCTGGGGACAGGTGTGGCGGCACACGCCTGTAACCTTAGCACTTTGGGAGGCTGAAGAGGGACGATCGCTTGAGCCCAGGAAATCGAGGCTGCAGTGAGTCATGATCGTGCCATTGCACTCCAAGCCTGGGTGACAGAGCAAGACCCTGACTCTAAAAACTGAAAATCTGAGCTGGGTCTACCCCTCAGTCAGGCAGCTTCAGGGTGAATGCAGGCCTCACCCACATCAGAACCCAGGCAGTCCCTCAGCAGGAGGGAGGATTCTGGAGCCAAACCGCCAGTCCTGGGCAGGGCTGAGATGAGGAGGAGAGCTGAGCCCTGTCCTGGAAGTGCGTCCTGGCCCTGAAAGCTGACGCTGCTCCCCAGGGATCCCGCTGGTGTGCGCCGAGTCCCCAGGGTGGCAGCCTGCAGCTGGGAGCCCTTCATCCCCTGCGATCTGACTCCAAGCCCAGCCTCTTCCCAGACAGGTGAACACGGGCGCTGGAAACTTCAGGCTCTGGAGATCTGGCTGGGGGCTGCTTCTGAGGACAGGTGTTATGAGTAGGGCTTGAGTTGGACTTTTTTTTTCCTCCTTGATTGGTGTGTAATTTACATACAGTGAAATGTGCAGGGTTTTTTTTTTGGAGACAGAGTCTCACTGTCACCCAGGCTGGAGTGCAGTGGCTCACTGCAACCTCTGCCTCGCGGGGTTCAAGAGATTCTCCTGCCTCAGCCTCCTGAGTAGCTAGGAACAGGCGTGCACCAGAATGCCTGGCTGATTTTTGTATTTTTTAGTAGAGACGGGGTTTCTCCGTGTTGGCCAGGCTGGTCTCGAACTTGTGACCTCAGGTGATCCGCCTGCCTTGGCCTCCCAAAGTGCTGGTATTACAGGCATGAACCACCGCACCTGGCTGAAATGTACAGATCTTTAGTGCTGAGTTTGGTGAGTTTTGACAGATGTACCACCCTAGAAAGCTCCCTCCTGCCCCTTTCTGGGCAGGGCCCCAGCCCTGCATTCCTGTCGCCGTGGATTCGTTTCACTTGTTCTTGAACTTCACAGGCATGGAACCATCCGGTGTCTCTTTGAGCTGGGTTCTGTTCTGAGAAAGCTCACATCCTAGCAAATGGCTCTGGGCCAGGCATGGTGGCTTACGCCTGCAATCCCAGCACTTTGGGAGGTTGAGTTGGGAGGATTGTTTGAGGCCGGCAGTTTGAGGCTGCAGTGAGCTATTATCTCACCGCTGTGCTCCAGCCTGGGTGACAGATCTGACTCTAAATAAATAAGTAAATAAAAATAAGATAAAAGAAAATGGCACCCAGAAAGTTCACAGTCCCCGAATGTTTCTGTTTCTGGGAGGCCTCTGTTGCTCACCCTGCATGGAGCCTCTGGCCAGGACTCTAGGCCCTGACTTCCCTCTGTTTTGGTGGCGCACTCCTTTCTCCTCTGCCCAGCTCAGAGGCGTATCCCGAGGGCCCTTCTCATTGGCAAGCTGTCGCCAAGTCAGTCTTTTCATTGAGGGCACAGGATCATGGTTAGGCGCACGGAACCTGGGCCAGTGTCTTCCTCTGTACCTTGGGGGTGGTACCGTGTGGCCAGCTCATGGGGCTGTCACGAGAATTAATCACGTTAACATAAGCGAAGCTCCGGGAGCCGTGCCCTGGTGTTGCCAGGGCAGCCGCTCGGGGTGGAAGCGCTTGGAGCATGGGCTTTGGCTGGGGCTGCCCTGGCCGTACCAAGGCAGGGTGGTACCTGGTCTTCTGGGCTGGGTTCAGGCGTGGCACTAACACGCTCTTCCTTCCTCCACACCTAGCTGGGCCTCATCAGTGGCATCTGCATCATCGTGGGCACCATCATCGGCTCTGGGATCTTCATTTCCCCCAAGTCTGTGCTCAGCAACACGGAAGCTGTGGGGCCCTGCCTCATCATATGGGCGGTTTGCGGGGTCCTCGCGATGCTGGGTAAAGAGACTTGGCTCCCTGATGCAGCCCCCGAAGCATGCAGGGGCACGCTAGGCAGGCGCTACCTGTTCAGCCCTCACCCTGCCAGTGTCCCTCTTGGCACATGTGTGGCAAACAGGTGTAAATCAGGCTGGACTGAATGTCCAACAGCTGGAGCTCAGGGCCGTCCAGTGAGGGCGGACCACGGTGGGCCCCTCCATACGAGCACAGCCCCCCGTGGGAGGAAAGCTCCCTGGGGCTGGAGCAGTGCCTCACAAGGGGCCTATGGGCCCTTCCTCTCTGCATTCCAGGCGCCCTGTGCTTTGCGGAACTTGGCACGATGATCACCAAGTCAGGGGGCGAGTATCCCTACCTGATGGAGGCCTACGGGCCCATCCCCGCCTACCTCTTCTCCTGGGTCAGCCTGGTGGTCATGAAGCCCTCGTCCTTCGCCATCATCTGCCTCAGCTTCTCCGAGTATGTGTGCACGCCCTTCTACGTGGGCTGCAAACCTCCTGTAATTGTTGTGAAATGCCTGGCCGCTGCCGCCATCTGTGAGTACCCGAGCCCAGGGCGGGGTCAGAAAAGACCCGGCACAGAGGGTGTCCGGGGACCCCGCCCTCCGCTCCTTCCCAGTGAGCTAGAGTCTCTGGCGAGGGGCCAGGCAGGGCCTGGCGTCAGCCTTTGCGGTACCGCACGCTGGGGACCCCCAGGCCCGTGGGGGCTGCAGGGAGGGGTACCGCTGGCTGCCCTGCAGGGCAGAGCCGTGGCTCAGGGCCCAGCTTCTTCTCCCGGCATGGTGGCACGTGCCTGTAATCCCAGCTACTCCAGACGCTGCTTACCATGCCCTGATAATTTTTCGCCATCTGAGGCAGCCCGGCTAAATTTCAAAGGTCATCTCCAGGTTCATTTAAAAGGTCCTTAAACTCCCAGGTTGGGATCTGCCCTCTTGGAATTTGGGAGATAATGTGGTGGCTGATGGGGGAGCTGGGGTGGGCAGCAGGCATGCTGCCCGTTTCTACTAAAATACAAAAATTAGCATGCTTGGAATCTCACCACTTTGGGAGGCTGAGGTGGGAGGATCGCTTGAGGCCAAGAGTTTGAGATTAGCCCTGTTAACACAGTGAGACCCTTGCCTCTACAAAAAATAAAAACATTAGCTGCGTGTGGTGGCATGCACCTGGAGTCCCAGCTACTTGGGAGGCTGAGGAGGGGGGATCACTTGAGCCTTGGTCCTGTCTCAAAAAATAAAATAAAAGAGGCTGGGTGTGGTGGCCCACGCCTGTAATCCTAGCACTTTGGGAGGCCAAGGTGGGTGCATTACTTGAGGTCACGAGTTTGAGACCAGCCTGGCCAACGTGGCAAAATCCCATTTCTGCTGAAATACAAAAATTAGCAGGGTGGGGTAGGGGGGCTGGGGGGCTGGTGGGGTAGCATGTGCCTATAATCCCAGCTACTGGGTAGATTGAGGCAGGAGAATTGCTTGAACCCGGGAGGTGGATGTTGCAGTGAGCTGAGACTGTGCCTTTGCACTCCAGCCTAGATGACAGAGTGAGACTCCACCTCAAATAAATAAATAAATAAAAATAAAATTAGAAAAACTGGATGTGAGGGCAATCTGGCAGGGACACGTGTCGCCCCTCTGATCGCCAGGGTTGACTCAGGTGATCTGGCTGGCTAGGCTGGTGTCCCCTTCCTCCCTCACTGCTCCACGTGCATCCCTCCTGAAGCTGTGTGCTTGGTCGAAGAGGATGACCATCCCCGATAGAGGAGGACTGGTCTTCGGTCAAGGGTATATGAGTAGCTGCGCTCCCCCTCTAGAACCTCCAGACAAGCTCTCTACTAAAAATACAAAAATTAGCCAGTCATGGTGGTATGCACCTGTCGTCCTAGCTACTCAAGAGTCTGAGGCAGGAGAATTGCTTGAACCGGGGAGGCAGAGATTGCTGAGATCATGAGCTGAGATCATGCCACTGCTCTCCAGCCTGGGTGACACAGTGAGACTCCATCTCAAAAAAAGAAAATAAAAAATTAAAAAATATATAAACGAAAGGAGACTCTCTCCAGGGCTTTGTTGAAAACCATAAATGCAGAAACTGCCCCCACCCTTCCAGTGTTCATCACGACGGTGAACTCACTGAGCGTGCGGCTGGGAAGCTACGTCCAGAACATCTTCACCGCGGCCAAGCTGGTGATCGTAGCCATCATCATCATCAGCGGGCTCGTGCTCCTGGCCCAAGGTGACCCACGGGAGGGCGGGCCCTGCATGGGCACACACCAAACCCCCTTCCACTGGGAGCGGAGCAGCCTTGCCCCACAAGCCCATCGCCAAGGAAGCGTGGCAGGAACTCAGTGGGAGGGATCCTTAGTTGCAGGGCGTGTTTAATAAGCTGGGTTCACAATCATGCCCGTCTTTCCCGTGGAGATGCACTCAAGATCTGGCTGGCTGACACCCGCCGTTCACTGTCTGGCTTCATTACAGGAAACACAAAGAATTTTGAGAATTCTTTCGAGGGCGCCCAGCTGTCTGTGGGAGCCATCAGCCTGGCGTTTTACAATGGACTCTGGGCCTACGATGGATGGTGAGGCGTCCTGAGATGTCCCAAGCCTGGGGGTGGGTGGGGTTCTCCAGGCGACTTTAACTCCACCTGTCATGGAAAGCAGTGAGTTCCCCTCTCTGGGGTTTGGTGTGACCTTGACATTCACCCTCCCATTTCCTTTTTGTGAAGCATGCGACAACCTCTACCCTTTATTCCCGGAGACTCCTGCTCAGCCAGCCAGAGCGCTCTGTGCGGAACCCACCGGGCCAACAGAGGCTCAGGCCAATTAGACGCAACCAGGGCCCAAGCTCGGCTTTTCTGTTTTGTTTCGGTTTCTTTTTTTTGTTTTTTAGAGACAGGATCTCACTTGGTCACCCAGGCTGGAGTGCAATGGCATAATCATAGCTCACTGTAGCCTCAAACTCCTGGGCTCAAGCCAGCTTCCCGTCTCAGCCTCCTGAGCAGCTGGGACTACAGATAGGAGCTCCCATGCCCGGGTAATTTTTTATTTTTATCCTTTGTAGAGACAGAGTCTCTCTATGTTGCCCAAGCTGGTCTCAAACTCCTGCACTCAGGCAGTTCTCTCTCCTCGGCCTCCCAAAGTGCTGGGATTACAGGCGTGAGCCACCGTGTCCCGCCTCAAGCTCTTGATTAAACAAAGAATACTCAATAGCTCTTCTATTGAACCTTGAAAATCATTAGGATTGGGAGCCTCTTTGAATCTATTATGGTTTGGAGGCTGCCCTACAAAAACAAATAATATCATATACATTTTATGTATTTATCGGGTTTAGTGGATAAGACTTTGTTGTCTTTTTTTTTTTTTTTGAGACGGAGTCTCACTCTATCACCCAGGCTGGAGTGCAGTGGCACGATCTCGGCTCACTGCAATTGCTCGAACCCCTCAG